GGCCCAAGAATTCTGAATTTGTATAATAAAAAGATCCTCCTCCTGGAACATGTAGATAGATCTTGAGGGAGGAACTGGTGGGAATTGAGAATGGCTGTTTTCACATGACTTGATAAATTGGCGAACCGCAGTTAGTTTCTAAGCAATGAGATCTCCCTCAAAGAGCAGAGACGGAGAATGATCTTTTACATGTGTTAATGCTCAAATATTTCTCAGCCTTCTGAAAGGTTGTCCCCAGCACATAGGAGAAAGGCAGGAGGATTCAAGTCTGGTGTGGGCTACAGAGGATAACCCAGTTTCAGAAAACCAAGGGCTAGAAGAATTCTTGCCTAGAACTCTCAAGGCCCTGGATTTGATCCCCATCACTGAAAAATTGTGCAGAATCCAACTACTATTTGCCCCAGTTTCATGGATCTTCTTAAGTGAGACCAGAAGTATTGGAAAGACCTAGGCTGTGGTGGTACACACCTTTACTCTTAGCACTGTAGAGGCACTGTAGAGGCACTATAGAGGCAGGCATATCTCTGTGAGTTCAAGCTCAACCTCTACAGATCGAATTCCAGAACAGCCAGGACTACACAAAGATAGTGTCTTAAAAAACAAAAGCCAAACAAAAAGACTGGCTGTCATGGGAAAGCCATGATTAAAGGAAATGTTCACCTCTTGCTGTGTATGTTTATCTTCTCTGTCCCAAGAAAATGGCCTCGTGAATTCCACCTCAAAGTCGCGACTTACTAGGGGCCCAATTCAAACTATTTCTTTTTAGAGCTGGGAAGAGGCCTGGTACTTGATGGAGTTGTTACATGTGATTTAAGCATGGGTGTTATCCTTTAACTGAGTTTGTTCAGCATATAGTAAATCTGACAGTTTTACAGGCCATGTTTGGAAGATGGCCTGTGCTGATAAGAGATAAAGTGCACATTATCTCTCGAAAGAATCTGGATGATTAACTAGCTCCAATGTGGTGAGGCTCTTTTGCAAACAACAGCTTTGCTGCCTCCTAAGTTAGATGGATGGATGAGCTCTGTGAACGAAGACTACGTTCTTTAATCGAATTGAGATTTGACATTTTATATTGCTTTTTGTCGTTTGCCGAGAACTTGACTATGGGTATTGTTCATCCCTCCCAGATATTGCTACTTTTAAAAGCTGAAGCTTGCTGAATTTTGTGGCTGTATCTCTTCCTTCTTCTACCAAGTACATTCAAGCTGATATGGAGGGATGGGAGGACAAGCCTTCTGTCACAGTGAACGCACTGCCATCGTATGACTATTGATAACAAGAATGGCAAATAGAAACATCTGCAGGCTTGTCCTTCACAGCTCCCATCATCTGGTGAAAACCGGTTTGCCCTCAGTCACTCTAATTATGTCAGCCACCTCAAGTTTTATTTGTGTCCCAATCAGTTTCTATGATTTCCATTGAAGTCTTATATCTGAGGGTGACATTTTTGAGAGCTTTAATTTCGTGGAAATGTTGAAAACATACAGAGATGCAAGATCTGTTTGTTTACCCACTTGTAGAATGTGCCTTTACTCTTTCCTGTTTCATACTTTTACACTAGAAATTTACAAAAATATAGTAAAATTCCTCTCTATATAGTTTTATTTTGCTGTTAGGTATTCTTCTCTAAGTCTGAAGTCAATCTTCTCCATCTCGCCTGCCTGTTACCTCACCCCTGTCACATGCTACAGGGGAAATGCTTGCACGTGCCAGACATGCCTCACATAGGTGTGGAACCGCTAGAGCATCTCCTGTCTGAGACCCACAGAGTGTTTTTGGACCATCCCTAGTAAGGCTTACTCCGTTTTCTAACTCACCAAAGAGCAGGCACAAACCTATGTGCTTCAGGACAGCAGCCATGTCTGTCAGCCTGTCACACTGCTCCCTGCCCTCCTCCCTTCCTGTGCCATTTGACACCGAGGGCCAGGGGTCCTTAGCCTTATCTTCTCCTTATTTACCGTGGATGATGGGCAGTGATTTGGGAGGGCCACTATAGCTTATTCCCAGCTAGCTGGAGAATGGTCAGATACCCCTCCTCGGCTTGCTGCCCCTTCATGATGCAGTTGTCTCCATCACAAAGTTGTGATGGAGTCTTATGGAATTGCCTGCTTAAGAGCTGTAACCCAGGAAAATTACCGGGGGTGGGGGCCAGTTTGGGCCAGACTCAAATAGGGAAGCCATTGTGTTCAGTAAGTAGAAACTTTTTATCTATTGTGAAAACACAGTAAGTAAGTTCAGGAGGAAACAAATGATGTTTTAATGGTGCCAATGGAGTGTTTTCTAAGTGAATCTGGAGAAGGTACAAGTAAGGTACAGTTGTATGTTCTGGAGTTTGAAAGTGGTCTGGGGCCAGAGTGCACACACTCTTGATCAGCTCAGCTCAGCCCCTCCCTCAAGTCCAGTTGTTGCATGTATGTATTCAGTTGTCACTCTGTGGATTTAAAGGGGAATGACACTAAAGCCAGTGTCCAATCCCAAACTAGTCTCTGTGACAAATAAGCACTTATTTTAATTGTTGAGAAGTTTCTGACCTTTCTGACGTATGCTTTTAATATGCATGGTGAAAGTTATATAATTCTCTTATCTTCAATAAAATATCATCCACATCTACTGTTTTTTGCATTTGGGTTTTGTTTTTGCTATCTAGTGAAGGCTGAACTTTATAATTTTATATTTTTACGACTTATTGACAGCTGATTCTAGGGGAAAATTACCTGGCCCATTTCTTGGAAGATTACTAGGTGTGAAGTTTTCTCTTGCATGGCATGAATGAAGTCTTGAGAATTATGGTTTAGAAAGAATTAGGAAGAATGAATGTTTGTAGCATTTTGCCTTCATACCTCCTCTAATGTCCTGGCTCCCCAGCCTCTGTTAACTCATCCATCCCAGCTGGCACGGAGCTCTTGGATCTCAGAGTGGGAGTGCATCGCAGCACTGTGTTGGAGCATTGCCTGTCCCTGAATTCATCTCCATTTGCCTTGTTTCTGTCTTAAACAACAGTATTCTCTCTCTGTTCCCCTACCATGTCCATCTACAGTGACAGGAAGACAGGCTTTGTATATTGTAGTAACGATCATTTTGAACACAAGTCCTTGTGGTTTAGATCTTGCGACTTCTCCCACAGGCCAATGCCTGTAGTAGATGAAGAATACCTCCCCCATGAGAGGCAAGGCAGGAAGAAGCATGGCTGTGGCCCTAAGTATAGTGATGACTGCATCAGCAATAACTTGCTAGTGAAGAACAAGAGTCCTCTCCCATAGAGGCCCCAGGCCTTGCCCCTTCCTCCTCCTTTAGGCAACCTGTGTTTTATGGATGCCAGTGGTGTGACTCCATTTTACAGAAAATCATTCATGTGCAAGTAGCAAGTTTTAAGGTCACATTGCTAACCAAGTAGTGAAGCTTGGGCCTGAGTGTTAGCCCATGGCTACGTAGCAATAGATTTCATAGTCAGGTTTGAATCTGTAAATTGACTTTAATACATAGTATAAACTAAGTGAATTCAGTACTTATTATCAGGCAAAAAGTAAGCGTAGAACAGGACCTTGGGACTTGGTTACATCACTCCCACCCACAGGAAGCTCGGCATCAGTTCTCAGATTGTACTTCCCATGTGACCTCCTAAACTGAATGTGCCATTGGGGCCACCTCCCTCTTGCTGATGCAGCATTTCTTCATTTTGACTCCCTAAAAACAATTGGTTCTGTAAAACACATGACTCTCAAAAAGAGAGAGAGAACAATTGGCCCTACTGCTCATTCCTATCAGAACAGTGGCCAGAGGAGTGCCTGTGGCGACCCAAGGCAACCGCAGACAGTTGGACGGGTAGGTGCCATGAGGCCCACGGTCTCCACAGTTTTCCTTAGCCCACCTTGCTCTTCTTGCTGGTCCTCCTGGTCTCTGCTGTCTTTCTGGGGCTGACCTCACCTTCTCACTGGCTTTTCCTACCTAATCTATCCAGAGTAAAGGAGGGCAGCGGTCACTTAGGATGAAGAGCTAGCATAGGACTGGGTTTCTAGGAAAGATGTACCCCTGACTTTGGAATTTGTGGGCCAAGTGTTTTCCTTTGCTGAGCATATGCTAAGCCCCTTAAGTAACTCATAAGGGAATTTTTCTCAGAACCTGTGATAGGGCCTTTGTCTCTTCTATAACTGTCACTTTGTCCTTGCATACAAGTCACATGGTGGCCGAGTGGTGTCCAGTATGAGGACACTGGATCCCTTTCTGTGTGTCCTTTTCAGTTTCTCATGGAAAGCAATTCCACAAGCAGGAGCTTTGTTAGGATCTTCCTTGCACTGCCATTCTAAAGACCAGGTGATTAACCTGGACTGCCAGAGAAGGGCAGCCAGCAGAATGTGAGAAAGGAAGCCATCTTGCTAGCTTAAAAGCGAGGTGAACTGCCCTGAGAGGAAGAGGGAGGGTCTGTGAGGTAGAAGAAGAAGCCTTGAGGGAGGCAAGAAGGACCTCCATTTTGGAGGCCTTGCCATGGCAAGGGAGTAAGATCTACCTGGCCAAATTTGGAACTCTTTATAAAAGTGTTGGCGCCCACTTCCCCAGGCTGTCTGTCCCTGAGCTATTGCAGTACTCACAGCACACTGGCCAACTACAACAGAGACTAGGAGAAACCCTTGCAACACCTGTCATTTCCATGGTGCAGGAGCACCCTTGAAACCAGAGACTGTCTCTAGGCCCAGGCTGATGGAGAGTGGCTCATGGTGGTGTGGAGTCTCTCTGCCTAAAGAGCCTGGGCTCAGTGAGGAGGGAGGGGTTGTTCTTAGTATTAACCTTTGATCTTGCTTAGCCTTTAAGCAAGATCTGAAAAAGAAAGGGGGGACTGCTTTTTAATTTTATGTTATCGTGAACATTTATCAAAACTGTGTGCTCAGAACTGCAGTCAGGTGTTTGATTGAAGTCAAAGTTCTTTACACTTTGGCAGAATGGTGTAACAGTTTATCAGGACTCTTTCTTCATGCCATTTTCCCATCTGTTTTCTGTTTTAGTTGCTGATATGTGTTCAAGATGAGTGGGATGGGAGAAAATACCTCTGACCCGTCCAGGGCAGAGACCAGAAAACGCAAGGAATGTCCTGACCAGCTCGGGCCCAGGTGAGCCTATCGTTGACTAAAAGAACCACTTTGTCTGTTAGTTTTCTGTGTGCTTCTTTGTTGTTTTTGCATCAATTTTGCTTTCAGTGTAAATATTGTACTTGGCTTTTCTTTTTATGATGAATTTTTTATGTATGTGTATGTAAATTTTGAATATGTGGATTATTTGCAGAATCTATTCTTTTTTTAAAAGGAAATTCCCCATATACATTTTTTACTGTCCTTGTGTATTTTACTTTTATAATCAGTTCATTGCCACAACCTTTGAGTTTTCCACATTTTTATTAGGTACCAGAATATTGTAACAGGTAAATTTTGTAGTGAGTGGTTTGCTATTCATTTGATACTGACTTCTTGTTTGTCTTTTTTTTTTTCAATGACATGAAGTATTCAATCCAATTGTTTTTTAGTTAAAAATAAATTGTGATTCTTCGGTAGATAAAACAAACACTTTTAAAACAAGTTGGCAGTATCATAATGGCAGGTCTGATTTCACGATTTCCTCTTGGTAGTGTCTCTATGTGCAGAATGCTGTAGATGTGACGTTACTCATCTGCACAAAAGAGCAGGAAACAGTTTTTGCAGAAAACATTTTAAGATGGCATGTGGCCTGGAACACAGTGCAACTGTGATAAACAATGAAGTTAGTTTTTTTTTAAAAAAAAATAATGCCTTTTCTTTTAAAAGACTTACTTAATTATTTATTTATCTTACTCAGTACACTGTCACTTTCTTCAGACATACTAGAAGAGGGTGTCAGATCCCATTACAGATGGTTGTGAGCCACCATGGGGTTGCTGGGAATTGAACTCATGGCCTCTGGAAGAGCAGTCAGTGCTCTTAACCACTGAGCCATCTCTCCAGCCCCAAGGTTAGTATTTTTAAAGGCCTCCTAGAATACAGGGCTCAGAGCCAGTTGTGGTAGTGTACCCTAAAGTCTGAGGCACTAGGAATTTAAGGCCACGCTGGGCTGCATAGGAGTTGGAGGCCAACCTAGGCTACAAATATAATTAGACAGTATCCCAGAAGATGTGAGAGAGAAAGGGCAAAGTTCAAAAGATGTTTAGGGAGTGTACTGCCCTTTATATTGGAAAAGGAAATTGGAGAGGAGGAAGCATTTGCGTTTGTGTTGTAGGGTAGCCAGGAAACAGTGATGGTGGCTACCTGCTTTGGTGAATTAGAACCGGTGCAAAAGGGAAACAAAGATGGAAGAGTTTGCTTTTCTGTTGCTATGATGAAACACCACAACCAAAGCAACTCAGAAAGTGAGAGTTCATTTTGGCTTACAGTTCCAGAGGAATAAGACTTCACTGTGGCAAGGAGGCAGAGCAGCAAGCAGCAGGCCTGGCTGAAGAAGCAGGAAGCAGAGAGGACAAACTAGACGCAGAGAGCAGTTACTGGCTTCTCAAAGCCCGCCCTCAGTGATAGACTTCCTCCAGCAAGGCCACACCTCCTCCTAAGCTTATGTTTCCAGGGCCACCAACTGGAATCAGACGTTCATTCAAATGACTGAACCTATGGGGAACATTTCTCATTAAACCACCACAAAGAGATTTTTTCCCCCAGACTTTTAATATTTTCAATCCTGTAAATGTTTTGTTGTTGTTGTTGTTTTTGTGTTTTGTGTTGTTTTGTTTTGTCTTCCCAGATAGGTTCCTCCTGTAGCCCTGGCTGTCCTGGTACTCACTTTTTAGACCAAGCTGGCCTCAAACTCAAATAGATCCACCTGCCTCTTCCTCCTGATTGCTGAGATTAAAGGTTTGTGCCACCATGCCCAGCATCTATAAATGATTTTTAAAGTTAAATAAAAACAATACTCTGGATTGTGTGATAAAAACAGTGGAAATGTGGATTGGAAAATGTTACCAAGAGAAGTGGAGAGAGGTTAGAAAACCCATGGTTTAGGCTATTCCTGCAGCACTGATCACAGATCTGTCTCACTCCCTCTCCACACCCAGCCCTGCTACCTTTTCACCCTCAGGTTCCCAAAGACTTCTTGATCCACCCCACCTGCTGCTGGCTTCCATATTTCCCGTCATGCTTTAGGACCCCACTGGGGAGAGAGGCTCCAGGGCCACCCGGGATTCAGCTGTGGTGGCAAGGAGAGGCCTTCCTTGTGGTCTCTCAAGTGTCTTTTAACTCAGTCCTCTTCTCACTAACTTGTCATTCACCCTATCTTTTCCAGTCTAAGAGAAAGAGAGGCTGGGAAGGACCTGGGCGCCTCTGAGGCCTAAGAGACACAGACCCTCTTCCCTGCACTGCTGTAGTTCACTAGATGATCTTGGGCAAATCGTGGGGCCACTAAAAAGGGAGAATCGTGTTAAAATTTTAGGATTATTAATTTAGGAAAATAAAACTGATAGATTCCGCCGGGCAGTGGTGGCACATGCCTTTAATCCCAGCACTTGGGAGGCAGAGGCAGGTGGATTTCTGAGTTCGAGGACAGCCTGGTCTACAGAGTGAGTTCCAGGACAGCCAGGGCTATACAGAGAAACCCTGTCTCGAAAAACAAAACAAAACACCCTGATAGATTCCAACATGAGAATCCTGAATTTGCAATGAATATCTTCTGTTAACTTTAAATTGATATTACATATAAATGCATATAAAGGTACAGAAAATTAAATACAGAAAACTGAACAACTCAGCTTCTTCCCTTGTTTGGGGTCATTAAATGGACTTCTGGCAGTGAGTAAGTAATTGTATTATTTTCAAGAGGAAATTTGGAGTTTTGTTATTTTGTCAAATTCGTATGAGAAGACTTTGTCAGTTTTGCTGTTTCTCCCCTCACTGAAGTTCCACTGGGCTCTGAGCACTTGTCACTTGCCTGTCATTGTCGAGGTGGACAACTGGCATGGAGCCTGGGTCACTGCACTCTGCTCTTAGGCTGCTTGGGACTTTTTACCTTTCTTGATTGGATCAGAAATATTCTAAGCAAATCTTTAGGAATTATGAATCTAAAACAAAAATCGAAAGATTTTTATAAAGATGTCTTTTTATTACCCTTTATGATTAGCAAAATAAAATAAAAAAAATGGTTGAAACTCATGTTTCCAATTATAATTACATTAATTATCTGTAACTTGCTCCTTTTAAGCTTAAGTGAAAGTTGACTCCTTCCCCTTTAGAACCCCTTTCTCTGTTCAACAGTAAGGTCAGTGCTCACCCTGCCCCTTGCTGTGGTGAGACTGGAGATAAGCACATCCAGGAAGTAATCCCACAAAGAACAGAGGAGAGTCAGAGACTGGTGAAGATTTGAATGCTTAAAACCGTGCAACAAGTTACTCCCTTGGTCTTAACTGCTTCACTGAGTAGGCAACGTGTTGTCTGTGTTCACCTTTAAAAGAGTTTAGCAGTTTCTTTCAAATAAATAATAATGCCACATTTCTTCTTAGCCCCAAAAGGAGCACCGAGAAACGCAATCGAGAGCAGGAAAATAAGTACATAGAGGAACTTGCAGAGCTGATCTTTGCAAATTTTAATGATATCGACAACTTCAACTTCAAACCTGACAAATGTGCAATTTTAAAAGAAACTGTGAAGCAGATCCGCCAGATCAAAGAGCAAGGTAAGAGGACTGGAGTGGTTTCTGTGCTTCCGTGTGTGCAGTCCTTTGAATCTATTTCTTTCGCCTAAATTATTGATGAAATGATGTCACATTACCAGATGAATGCATGTATCACTTGCAGGGGTTATAAACAGTCTTTATATAAAATCCAGCCATTCCCTCAAGACGAAGGAGATGGAGGTGAATCACTGATGGGGCTTTTGTCTGGTGAACCCCCCCACATCCCCAGAGTTTTGGGTGATGTAATTACAAGTGAGGGGCTACTGTTCCATGTAATCCCCGAAGGAGGAGGCAGGGAGTACCTTCTGTTCCAGTTAGCCAACTGACCATGTTTCTGGATTAGAATCTCATACCCTGACTGACGGAGGCTTAGGGGCTCTAATAGCCAGTAAAGATTCCTTGGTGAAGTCAAAGACATCCCCTAGCAGCTTGTTTTCTTGGTTTTCTCCCCCTGCCCCTGAAATCATTTTATACTTCCCTCTTGATATTTTTGCCTACAGAAAACAAATTAAGAATATAATATTTTTAAAAAAATATTTGGCATTGTAGTGCCAAAAATAAATCTAAGGCATGTATGAACAAGGCTCTATTGCTTGGGGCTGGCACATGCTCTGAAGTGTCCTCACGCTGACTTCCTTCAGGGCCACAGATGATTATCTCCTGAAATGCTTTTGATGAATCCTGTAATTCATGTCTTTTTTAACTGCCTTTTATATAATAGTTGAAAAAAATAATTTCAGAAAAATTATCTTTGTCTTTCTAGATCTTGGAGCCTCAAACTCTGTTTCCTCCAATGAGTCATAAAACTTTATTTCAGCATCTAAGAACATACACATTTCAAATATCAACCCACTCTCAAAAATGTCTTTAGTTTCTCCATCAAAATTGTCCTGCTGTAGATTTCAACAGTCAAGGAGTTTCTTTCTTTTCTTTTTTTTCTTTTTTTTTTATTTTTTTTTTCGAGACAGGGTTTCTCTGTGTAGCCCTGGCTGTCCTGGAACTCACTCTGTAGACCAGGCTGGCCTCGAACTCAGAAATCCGCCTGCCTCTGCCTCCCAAGTGCTGGGATTAAAGGCATGTGCCACCACTGTCCGGCTTAGTCAAGGAGTTTCTTATCCCAATGCCTATCAACACCCTCCACCACTACCACCCCCCTAACTTTGGGGTTTAACAAGTACCTTTAATCTCATCTTGGTGGGTTCTTTCTTTCTGACGTTAGAGAATGGATCAAATAATACTCCTAGATCTCATAGGTTTCCTGCTTGAAGTGTACACAGTACAATGGAGTTCCTGCTTTTATCATAATAGAAAATGATAGCCTGCTGTTTCAGGTCTCTACAAATTTTGAATGGTTCCATTTTGTGACCATTTCATGTTACAAGTTTTATGTTTTAAACAATCATACACATATTTTCAACTACAATGAAGGTCTTGCACAACCTTGGCAAATCCCACTTCCAGCCAGAAAACACGTTAAGATGTGTCACGCTGGGCCTGTGCCATGGCTTCTCTGCAGGGTTAATCATCAAGCACGCACCACAGAAGCAGCAATAGAAACACCCTAACTATCATATTTTCAAAGCAGGACGTGGCAATTTTAAAGGCAATGGGGTTGTTTGTTTGTTTGTTTGTTTGTTTTGGTTTTTCAAGACAGGGTTTCTCAGTGTAGCTCTGGCTGTCCTGGAACTCACTCTGTAGACCAGGTTGGCCTCGAACTCAAATCTGCCTGCCTCTGCCTCCCAAGTGCTGGGATTAAAGGCAATGGGTTTTGAAAAAAAGAAAAAATTAAATGCCAAATACACAAAAGTTAAATACCAAGAACAGAAATATGCTTTTAAGTTCTCAAGTAATCTAATGCTTTAAGAATATCCTTACTTTAATTTTTAGTAATCACATCAGACAGAAGCTCGGTGTGCACCAGTGCCATGGGAGAGTCCTTTGAACCTGTGCAATAGGGTTTTTTCTCTCTCTGCAAGTCTTCTCAATATAATTGAGCACTGGCACACCTGGTACACATAGCTGTCAACGAGTGCTCAGTATCAGCCAGTCTACCCTCTCATGCCGTGGTGAGTGGAGCAGGTGCAGTTGTCTTTCCCACATTAAGCAAACATTTCCTCCTTCAGGTGGAAAACAAAACAAAGATGGCTGCCAGGGGATACTAATGCCTGCTTCCCAGAGAGGTTTCCAGAGTTAAAAATTGAAAAATGTTTTCCTAGGGTCAGAGAACTCCCTGGGACGGAGCTGTTGGAGCCACTTTGACTTCTGTCTGTAGGTGACAGAAGTATCACATAAGTTTGGGTTGAGCCTTTCCTCTCGCTGTGTCTTCTCTGTCCTGAACTACTCCCCACCAGTCAGTATAAATAAAACCCACCCACTACCTCTGCACCGTTCCCAAGTTTACTTCGTATCTCAGTCAGTCACACTGTCGGCCTAAATTGTTCAGGAGAAAATGTCCATGATAATCACTAAACCTGCATGTTTGGCTCAGAGAAGATAAGCTGTGTCTCGGGTATGGCACTAAAGACCACTAAGAAGCCGGGAGAGCAGGAGTCACCTTGATGGAAAGCTGCCCAGCTGGGTGCACCGCTGCGTGCGTCATGGTCTTTGTCTCTCAGCTCTCCAAGCACCTTGTAGATTGAGGAAAATGAAAAGAAATGTTAAAAATGGCATATACTTCAGGAATTTGGAGGGGGAATTACTAGGTGTTTAAATTAATAACCATTGTTTCAGACACAAAATTTTATAAGGCCCACCTGTATTAGGTGCTTTACTCTGGCCAAATCTGGTAATACTTGGTAGGCAGAGGCAGGAGGATGGCTACAAGTTCAAGGACAAGCCTGGTTTATATGCATCCTAGGCTGGCCAGAGCTACATAATAAACCCCCATCTTAAAGAAACCAACATCTAGGAGCAGACACTGGAGGGGTAGGCCAGGCATCCTGCAGGAACAAAGCCAGGCTCTGAGATCAAGGGTTCGAAGCGAGTAATACAATCACTGTTCCATTTGGAATTCCGTTTGCCTTGATGGTTTTCGGGGGCCCACATTCATAGAGCCTTAGCTGTTGTTTTTTAAAGTTAGTAACTGGTTAATTGAGACCTCACATTAGGACTAAATGTTCTTTGACAGTTTTCAGTAGCAGCTAATACTCTCTGTGTGCTGGATGCCTTGTTATGTTAGGTTTGCTTATCTACTTAACACTCCAAAAATGGAAAACAGCAGTTTTACTGTTTGCCCCTCTTCTGAATGGGAAAACTGAGATATGGGACACTTAAGTACCAAAATGCCATGCTCTAGGGGGAACATAGGGTGGAATCCCGGTAGCCTGTCCTCAGAGCCACCCTCAGAGCCAGCAAAACAACTTGTTAGTACTAAATATGTTTCTTTGTATTCTAGTGCGGTGAGTTGTCCTATGTAGCAGATGCCCACTTGCCTTAAAATTGCTTTGCTAGATTCCACAGAATGCTAAGTTAAAGGAGAAATACAGATCTTTGATTTTTAGATTACTATGTCCAATTTCATTCCATTTAACAGAAAACATAAATATTCTGTACAAAATATTTGGTGTACAAATATTTTGGAGTGTAAATAGGCTGGCAAGTAGAGGGAGCTTTAAAATTGAGAACATTTCTTCTGTCCTGTTTATGTCTCCTGTTATTCCAAAGTAGTCACACATTGTTTTTCAAAAACAATTAAAGTGAGTTTATCAATTTAAAGTGAGATTGTAAACTATATTAGTCCATGGGCATGTTAGTATAAGCAGGTAATCTCAGCACTTGGCAGAAGACATTCATAGGGAATTTGAGGCCAGCCTGGGCTATATGAGACAATGTCTTTAAAAAAAAAATCATTGAAGTACATATTATTGCATTGCATTTGGATTTATTGGTTAGTAGAGAGTCAATTTCAAGCTTTTGTCTAAAGTTGAACAAAAATGAAGAGGCACATATCAAGTGTTCAAGAATATATTTCAAAAGAATATGTGTTGCTTTACCTGTCATCTAAATTTTTCATTACAGTTATTCTAGTGATAACATGTGTGCTGTTGACATGAGAATGTGAGATTCTAGATTGCTTCAAACATGTGAATTTTATCTGATAAGATAGCATCACAAAGTGAAGAAGGATCTGGAGGGGAGGGGCAGTGGCTTGGTGGTGTCAAGGAAATTAAGCCAGGTGTAGTGGTACAGGCCTTTAATGCCAGCACTCTGGAGCCAGAGGCCAGTGGATCTCTGTAAGTTTGAGGCCAATCTGGTCTACGTAGTAATTTCTAGGACAGGTGAGGCTCTGTCAGTTGTTAAGCATAGCAGACATTAATAACCATATGGATGTGGAAGATAGTACAACAATCAAAGGTAAAGAAAATGTCAGTGGTTCTTTATTACTCTGCTGTGCTGCTCTGCGATGCACGACAGGCTGTGCCTCTGTCTACGTGGCTGACATCCTGTCTAGTGATGCCTACAATACCCCTCTCCCAAACCCGAGGTCAATAATGTGCCATAGTTACATTGAAGTCCACCATGAGGACAGTATCCCTGCCACAGGACTGGAATACTCAGTTGGTGGATTTTTGGTGGCTGTCACTCTAGATGTAACCGTCAGGGAGAAGATTGATATTTTGCTTCCACCATCTTAGCTCTAGGCAGCTAGTGCATGGATACACGCAACCTGTTAGCGGAAAGTCACTCACGGATTGACAAATTTATGGATATGATAGAACCATTAGTTCCTCTTGTCTTACTCATTAATTTAAATGGAAACTAACCAAATTCCTTACTCTTTCATGAGTTGTAATCAGCAGGTCACCACAGTACAAGAATCCAGTACGAACATTCTCTGAGAGTCAAGTGGCTGCCTGTTTGAGAGTTGTTTATGTTATTCTCATTTGTAAATTATGTACACACTAACCTTTTACACTAGTGAATGTCATAAACATTATGTTGTACCTCTACACACTCAGAGAGCTGGCCCTTAGCATTTGACAGTCAGACATTGAGAGGGA